TGGCATGTTATTTACTTTTGTTCACAAGTGGCATATAAAAAAATCAAAAAATTACTAATGACTTGTGCATAATTATATATGGATTTGTTAATCAATTGGAAAAGGAAAAAAAAGCATTGGAAAGATTGTTGGTTTTATCTTTCTTAAAAGACAGTAAAGTTGCTAAGTCTTAACATAAATTTACAAATAAAAAATGCTACATCTAGTTTTTTTTTTTTTTAACGACTTGTGTAACTTTATTTCGAAAAGAGAAGAAACAGAGTACAATTGCAGGGAACTATAACTCTAAGAAACTTTGGGCTCAAGGTACTATATCGCAATATGTTTGTTTTTAATCGATCTTAAAATATTATCTTTGTTGATTTTGTTTGTTTTAAAAACAGCTAAGAAAAAGGAAATATTGATGACTTTTCCTAAACAGTCAAGGGATTCAGATACAATAAATACCGAGTCATACACAAACACTTCGCAATTTTCTAACAATACTCTGAATTTTTCTTTTCTCCCCATTCACTGATCGATACTTCTTCTCACCACCTTTTCTTCAGCAGAATCATGAGTTCTCCGGCGCTAAATCAAGACATGATCATAGAGATTCTCTCTCGTTTTCCGGTGACGGAGATCGGAAAATCAAGGCTCATGAACAAAGAATGCAACAAAAGAAGTCACGAGTCTTGGTTTTTCAACCTCAATCTCCATAGAACCAATTCTATTTCCGGATACTTAGTACAATACAACGAAAGAGGATACAAACATCAAACCAGTTTCGTCGACGAGATGAGAGATTTCGAAAACAAAAAGCTCTCGATCGATTTTCTACCACAGGGCAAAGTAAAGATCGAAGCTTGTGACTCAAGTCATGGGGTTTTGCTATGTCTTAACGAAACAGGACCAAGTGTACCGGATTACATCGTCTGCAAACCAACAACAAGACAGTATCGGATCATACCGAATCCTATAATGCAGAATTGCGGTATCTCATTCGGTTTAGCGGTAATCGGATTAGACCCTTTCCGGTATGAGATACTTAGGCTCTCTAGGTTACGCAATGGTATGAATCGGAATAATAGAACTTTCGCGTGCGAAGTTTATGATTCCGATTCGTTTACATGGAAAAGATTGAAGAATTTGCGTCTACCAAAAAACGACGGTCTTATTCTTTCAAATCCGGTACAAGCTTCTGGTTTCTTGCATTGGTTATCTAGGGAGGACAATGTGATCCGGTTCTGTCTCAAAACCGAAACTTGGTCTTTCTTCAAAACTCCCAACTTCGGTGTTTCTCCAAAACTGGTCAGATACGAAGGGAAGCTAGGTGTTATTCGTTGGTCGGGTTATGGAAAGGGATTAAACCGGTTATGGGTTTTAAAGAGCAGCTTTGAAAAGTCATGGGTAAAAGTCAAAGATATTAAAAACATGGGGCTAAGAGATGATGTTTTGTGGACTCCAAGCAACGACGTCGTAACGCTCTCGAGCAGGGATCGTGTTTGTTACTACAACACAAACACAGAGAAATTGAAAATCATTCAAATGAATAAAGAATTCACCAGTTACGTCTATTTCCCGTTTTGTTCTGACTACGAAGTGATCGCCAATGACTCGAATCCGGTGAAGGCATCGGAATGTATGTCTTTGATGTTTCAGCAATGGGCCATTCATCCTTTTACTAAAGCTTCTTTGGTTCTAATAGTTTTGTTTTTGCTTGTGGGCTACGTACTACTAAAGTAAACACTTTTGTAAACTTGCTTCTTTTTCATCAACTTTTATATAAAAAAAAAAAATGTTTTTATCAATGTTGGTGATGGGTATAATGATAGTAGTAAATTTTTTTAAATGAAACAGTTTAAGTTGTAGAGTTTATCGGCGACATTTCATTGCTCATAGTGCAATTAGGGATGATCGGCGACATTCATATGTTGCATCGGGTTTCCTGGATTGGCTCAAAGAAGTTTATGACAATGAGAGTGTTTTTTAGCCTCTTATTAGTGTTTATTCTTCTTGACTTGATTTTTGGCCTTGTGTTTTGTTTGTACGGGGGTTTATGTTTTTACATGAACTTTACTTTATGACACAAGGGAGTATATAAGGGAGGGGCATATCTTTCGGTTGTAACACCAGTATCTTTGTTTCCGCATTAATATATAAACTTCAGATGGAAAAAAAAAAAGTTGTAGAGTTTATAGTTTTCATACACGTTTTTCTTCCGCATTCACAGAGACAAAAATGATTATTACACACAAAACAATGGTGCATAAACGCGTTATTCTCTTCGTAAATATGAAAAAAAAGTCTCTAATTCAAGTCTAATTGGAAGGAGGGGTATTTCCAAATGAAATAAACTAAATGCAATCTCCCATTCCATGGAGATTAGAGTGTAGACCCGAACTTCAATTTTTTTTTAAAAAACCACGTTATTCAAAATAAAATTAGCATAAATCTATAAATAAAATTTTCTTGTAACTTACTTTAAATGGATTAGAAATCCAAACTGAGTACATAACTTACATTAATCATAATAAATATTCATAAAACAATGTATTCTATTTTATTGAGATCATATTGAGATCATAAATTTTTATACATGTATATATTGTACACATATATTCTCCCAAAATAACATGGTACACATATATTATTTATATTTGGCAATTATATTTTTTTTCTAAAGTTTATCATACAAGTGACAAAATTTTTTATTACTACTAAAGCAAAATGGTAGGAGATAGAAATTTTGTCAAATTCATCCAATAAAATATCAAACAATAAGTTTGTTTATAAGAAGATGAACTTATAAAAATTAATACATGTATGGATAAGAAATTTAAAATTGGTGAAAACATACTTAATATAATTTTTTACTGAAATAGGTGATGTTATCTTGTCATTCAATAAGTTTTAAGTATAAATTTACTTTAAATTATACAAATCTTTATTTAAAAATCACCATAGATACTAGAGAAATTTCAAAAAATGCCACTTTTCAAGTGCGACTTTACAAAAATGCCACACTTTTGAAATCTTTACAAAAATGCCACTTTTTCAAAATTATTTTTTTTTCATATTATTTATGTTTGGGTTAATTATGTTCTATTATGGTTTAGTTATGAGGTTTTAAGGGGGTTTAGGGGTCAAAATATTT